CCCTTTCTCCCTAACCTCCCGCATTCCTCAATAGACCTCTTTCCATGAAGTGCTGGGGGAAAACTACTCCAGAGAGAAGGAAAAGGAGTCCCAAGGACCAGGCTTTTCATGAGGAGGAAAGCTAGGTCTGTTGCCCAACTAGAGCCCTGAGACTGATGGATTTCTGACCATTCAGCCAGGGATTTGGTGGTTGAGCACTGCAGTGCCATAAAGGTAAGATAAACTCAGGTTCTTTTTATTATTTTAAACCTTTGATTAAATTCCTTTTGGGAAGGAGTCTGCTCTGATGGCTTGATAAGCTCCTTGTGTCTGGGCCTGGTGGGTTCAGTCTCTGGTTGTTTTTTGAACATGAGCAACATTTGGCTAAGGCAGTGGGAGTGAAAAGAGGTGTGTGGGAGGAGGGAGAGGAGAGTCTTGTTATCAGGTCTGCTGATGGGGCTGGCATGGAGTTGAGCGTTGTTCGGAACCTCTGAGTGGTGAAGCCATCCCAGCTCCTCCCCCCTTCCCTTCCACCTCCCTGTTGCTAAACTTGAAGCTATGTCTTAGAGTACAGAAATCAAAGGTTTCACATATAAAATCTACCTCCTTGAAAAAAAATCCCAAAGCTAAAGACTCTGTCAAGTTTCTCAGATAGGATCACCAGTTCTTATACCAGCACTTTGAGGCCATAGAAACTCCTAAGGTAGTTGTTCCTAACATTTGAGGAAACACACTGAGAACCAAAGAAAGGAAAAATGTGCATACACATAAAATTTACATACAATTGTGGGAGTTCAGGCCCAGGGGGTTTCTATGGACATTTAAGGACCTCAAGAACCCCAAGTTTGGAACCTCTGGTCCACAATGTTTTTCCTGGCATAAACTAGCAGTTAGGTAGCTCTCTGCGGTCTTATATTTTTTTCTTGGAAGACTATTGGTGCTCAGAAGATAGCTGGGGGTCCCAAGGAGTAAATAGTTAGTAAACTAATGCCACATTCTGCCATTTTAATGTAGTAGTCACCCTGTCCCTTCTCAATGATACAATATCCTTGTCAAGAAGATGTCTAACTTCTGTGTAAACATATCTAGTGACAGGGAATTCAATATCTTTCCCTAAATACACTCTAGTTTGTTATTGTGCCTACTTGAGAATACTCAGAACTTAACAGTTCAGATGAGTCAGTTATATAATGCATTCACTCTCTTTAGCTAAACATTTGTACCATGTACATATTTTCTAAAGATGTCTATGTCCATTCATTCACTTATTCTTTCAGTCAACCATTCATGCAAACATTTACTAAGTATTTGTTTTGTTCCAGGAATGTTCTAAACACAGGGGGAGGGGGGATGCAAAGATGAATAAGAAATTGTCTCTGTGTAAGTTTTCACCAAACCCAGGGTTTAGAGCTTACTGCTGTAAAATTCACTCTAGATTGGCACACAGTCCATTACTTTAGCACTTTGAGGATATAGTATCAATCAGCTACTGACTAATCTAGTGGTATATCTTATATTTCCATTCCAAGAATTTATCTTTCCCCTCTTTTTGAAATGAAAACAGTTGCCTATTGACACTTTCTGATCATGTGCCCCCTTCATGGCTATTTGTATAGTTCAATACCAAAGAGAGCCTCACCCCCTCCTAATGAACTCCTCCTGCCTCCTTGGATCCTACACAATTCTTCTAGTCCTTTCCCTCTACTTCAACCCAGAGGAAAAAGGTATTGCCTGATTCTAGGATTGGGAGTCTTTCCCCTTTTCATTACAGGGCCATTTTCCTTATAAATCCTGCCCTGTAGTGCTTGTGGCCTTGTCAGGCCCATGTCAAGTGCCTCACTAGAGTAATCTGGCCCTACTCATAGGTCAGCAATAGCTTCCTATTAATGAAAATAGATCTCATTTATCTTATAAGACCTCAGGGGTTGTGGATTCAAATGCAGCATAGGAATTATAGTAAATAATCCTATATAATAAAAGCCTAATACCCTAAGTGTCCAGTTGTTCGTTCAACCAATAAAAGCATAATATGCTAAGGCAGCTTAACTGCTCACTATGACATGCCCTGACCACCAGGAGGCAGACAGTTGACCAGTCGACCAGTCGCTATGATGTGTACTGACCACCAGGGGGAAAGACAGTTGACCAGTCACTATGATGTGCACGAACCACTTGAGGGCAGATGATCTGACAGGTAGGTTAGTTTGCTGCTGGGATCTGACCTATTGGGACTGAGAAAGGCTGGCTGGATACCCAAAAAGACTGGGGGCCCCTGCTGTTTTTCTATTTTTTTGGTCCTCAATGTGTCTCCTCAAATGTTAGGAACAACTACCTTAGGAGTTTCTATGGCCTCAAAGTGCTGGTATAAGAACTGGTGGCCACTGTGATCCTTTGTGAGAAACTTGACAGAGTCTTTAGCTTTGGGATTTTTTTCAAATAGGTAGATTTTATATGTGAAACCTTTGATTTTTGTACTCTAAGACATAGCTTCAAGTTTGGCAACAGGGAGATGGAGCCCTCTCGAGTCCCTCCCTGGCTGGCCAACCTCCTGTGTCCCTCCCCAGCCATGATCATGCACTGGTAGGGTCCCTTGGCCTGGCCTGCGCCTTCTCACAATCTGAGCTGACACTTCCACCCCCCCCCAGTGCAAAATTTCATGCACTGGGCCTTTAGTATTATAATAACTATATATGGTGCCAGATGGGTACTAGAATTATTGGGAGCATCAATTCATAATTTCTATAAATGTCTAATCAATGGGTTGTACACCTGGATCTAATATAATATTGTACATCAACTGTAATTAAAAAAGAAGATGTAGCTGTGTATCAAAAGTTCTAGGTAGCTGACTATAGATAATGTAGGTAAAATTTTGTTTTTAAAATAAAGTATGATGTACATAAAAATGTGATAAAAAAAACCCACACATTTAATATTTATCCATTTCCCAGAAACCACTAGAGGTGATGTCTCTTTCCTATAATTCAACATGAGCATTACCATCAACCTTCTTGCCTCTCCAAATCCTGTTGGTTCTTCATGGCAGGCATTACCCATTTGAAACTTTCCCTACCCATCCTAGCCCTGCAAGATCTCAGCCTTGGTGAGTCCATTGGCGAGTATTCTATGATCATATATAGTATGCAACTTAACGTTTTTTATTCTACAGTCTTACTTGCTATTTAATGTATATATTCTCATATGTGTGGATGGTTTCCTGTTGGGTACCTAGGTTTGGATGAGCTTTTATAGACTTTTTGGTTTTGATTTTGAAGTGTGCTGCTTCCTAAGCTCTTTGTTCAGACGTACAATCAGTTGGAAAAATAGCAAATGCTAATCTGACGTGAATGAGTAACTCCAGGAGGAACTATCTTAAACCCCAAACCTTTTCCTACCAGGCCTTCATGGTACCTGAGTATGCAATGAGACTTTGATTTCTTTGGTTGTTTCCTAACAGTATTCACTTTGAAAATAAAAATAATCATATGTGTCTACCTCAGTAAATATCAGTAAAGAGGCCAGGGATTTTAAACCAAGATATCTTAGGGGCTGATCTGGAGAAGAGGGAGCTCCAGAAATGCCACATGCCCTTCAATTAGAGCCACTCTACTTTTGTTTTATGGACCGAAACTATCCACAAACTTTATTTATAAGCCATTCAGCTGCATAAGGAATTATTTTTGAAAACTATTCCTTTATGGCACTAGGTTTCAAGCTTTATCATGCACAAGAATCCTCTGGGAGGTTTGTTACCATACAAATTGCTGGCCCCCACCCAGATTTGGCAGGTCTAGGGTAGGGCCTGATAATTTGCATTTATAACAAGTTCCCAGTTGCTGCTGGTGGTCAAGAGATCATATACTCTGAGAACTACTGCTTTAGGGAAATGTATTAACATCTTCCCAGAATTCTCTAGGAAAAGCACTGGCAGGGGATGGGGGTTGAGGTTGGATAGGGAGTGGGAGAACACCTCTAGAAGGTAAGTTGACTGGTTCAAATAATCAGTTTCCATATATATAGTTTTGTTGTTGTTAATCCTCACCTGAGTATATTTTTCCATTGATTTTTTATTTTTATTTATTTATTTATTTTAGAGAGAGTGGAAGAGAGAGGGAAAGACAGAGAGAAACATTGATGCGAGAGAAACACATTGATTGGTTGCTCCTGCAGAGCCCTGACCAGGGGCCTGGGCCAGGGAGGAGCCTGCAACCAAGGTATGTGCCCTTTACTGGAATCGAACCTGGGACCTTTGGTCTGTAGGCCGATGCTCTATCCACTGAGCCAAACCAGCTAGGGCTCAGTTTCCCCATTGATTGTTTTTTTATTTTGAAGCCCTTTATCTTCATATCTACACTAATAAAAAAGAAACATACAAATTGACCATCACTCTGCTATGTCCACCAGCCAATCAGAGCGAGCATGCAAATTAACCCAACAAAGATGGCAGTTAATTTGCATATACAGATGCGGAGTGAAGACAAGACAGCATAAAAAGAAGAAGGAGGAAAAGCAGAAAGCTGGGCATTGGTGGCAGTGGGAGGGAAAGCACAGAGCAGCAGCGGCTGCAGGATGGAAAGTGTGAGGGGATGGGGGTGGCGAGAGGGAAAGTGTGGGGTGGGGGGCAGCAGCGGCAGGAGGGAAACCCTGTTCTTGCAGGAATCTTCCTGCAACAGGCCTCTAGTAGAAAATATAAAGCCACCAATGGGCTCTCCCTCTTGAGGATACATCTTCATCTTTCTCTTCCCATCTTTTCCTTTGCCTCTTTTTCTTCTAAGCTCCAAAGGCCCTTCTTTTGTTTCTGTAACTTATATCTTGAGCCTGTGTAGCCCAGTTAGTTCACTTCTACTACCTCTCTAACTTCATAAATAAATTTTTCTTATAAAAAATAAAGTAACTGTCTGACACAATTTGAGCTTGCTATAGCAACAAAGTCTAACCTATTCTGGTGCTCTCCTCTATGAGACAAACCATCATATAGACTTAGACAGTGTTAAAAAAAAAAAAAAAAAAGTAAACAGTTACCAAGTAGGGTTTCTGATTTCCATGCTTTGGGCCCTAACCAAATCCTAAAGGAGGGTTTTTCTATGCCTAAATCCTAATCACAAATGGGAGCTGCCATAAGAGATGTTGATTCAGGCCTTTCTGAAACTTTGTTCACCAATGTCATAGAATCAGAAAGGACTTTAGACAGGGCCCCTAGATAATACTAATATTGTGAATAATGGGTCATCAAGCCTAGGCAGTGTGATGCTGACATCAGGAAATTCTAAGAAGTTGGAGAAGAAAGAAGCTGACTCATCCTACTAAATGTACAAATCAATAGAATTAGACAGTGGTTACAATATAAAGACAATTTTATTGCCAATAAAAGCCTTTAATAACAAATTTATCCTGTTTCAGTAGGACCTTATTCTTTCTGATGAAAATCCAGTCATAGCATCTCTCATTAAAAATAAAATTATTTTGAAATAAATAAATATATAAAATAAATAGCATATACATTTCATAAATAGTTTGTCCTTATGCACAGTATCCATGCTTACATTTTAATAGCATTTTCTTTTTGCAATATTCCCCATTTCCCACTTCCAATGGCAGGAAAACTGCATGTCAGGACAGATGAGAAATCTGCAGAGCCAAATCAAGGATGGCTTGCATCAGGGCTGTGGCCCTGAGGATTTTTCTGAATGAGACTTTTCCAAAGCTCTGTAGGTAGCATCTGTGGCAGATCTTTTGGTCTTTCATTTACCCATTGTCAAGGTATTTGGGTAGATTGTGGAGTGAGGTACCCTTGGCCCTTGGCAGGGGCCCCCAGTCTTTTTCATACCACCTCAGGGGAAAGTACATGAGTAAAGAAAAAAGTATATACAAGATTCCCTTTAGCCCACCCTTCCCCCCACATCCCTCCCCAAAATAACCCAACTTTGATATACACTTTGAACAACAAGGGAACAGTTGGGTTGAGTTGAACAGTAAGTGTTTCTTTGCTATCTAAATTGATAGGAAAGAGAATTGAAAAGCTACGAGTATAGTGCTTGCAGAGACAACTGTGTCCCCAAAGTATATGGGCTACAGAGGTCACCCTAGGGTCTGTTACCTATAGTGGAAGAGGTCTCTGGACATGGAGGGTAACCTAGAAGGATCTACAGGCCTGGGTAAAAAGTGAGTGAATTTCTGGTGTCGTTTAGTCCTGTATCCCTCCCGGGGTGAGCCGTCTTTATTCAGGGCCACGTAATACTGTCTTTCCGAGTCCAGGTGTTTGTACAAGGTGGAGGCATAGGTGTTGTACCAGTTTTCTTCAAACTGTTCCCGGAAAACACATTCGCGAGTGAGTTTCTTCTGTGAGGGTGAGAAAATAAAGCAGAGCCCATTATATGACTATTTTCCCCATCCCAGCGTGCTGGTGGAGAACCCTGAAATAGCAATAGCACATTGATATCAGAAAATTTCAGTCCTATTTCCCATATTATTGAGGTATTTTCTTTCCAAATAGCAAATTAGTCTGATTTCTATCACCTTCATTCTCTTTCATGAGCTACACAAAAATGTTTTAGGTAAGACCTTTCCTGAAGGCAGGAGACTGGAGAAGAGAGCCTCACTTGGCTCTTTGAGCTGAAAATTTTTTAAAATTATTTTTTATTGAATATATTGGGATAACATTGGCTAATAAAATTATATAGGTCTCAGGGGCACAATAGAGCCTAAGGATGTCTCGTAAGGCTGCCCAATGCCCCACTGGCATCCCTGAGTTTTCTCCCTACTCAGAGCTAATGTTAAAATATATTGAGATTACAGTCAACCATGTCAACTGATAGGCCTTGGATCTATATTAAGTTCCACAGGAGGTGAGCTGTGATCTCTCCTGATGAAGGGCCCAAGGCCTGTCAGTTGGAAAGCTTACAAAAAATCTCCTCGAAAAGTTCCTCCAATCTGGCTACATTAAGCTAGCAGCTCCTGGGTCTCTTGCCTCTGTCCCTTCTCACATTTGATCCTTAGTACTTGCTGGGGTTGCCGATACCGAGTGCTGGGGACAGGCCTATCGCTTAGGTGTCAGGGAAAAATGTGCTCTGATTTCAAAAGGTGCAGGCAGCCAGAAAGCATTCTATGTGACTCAAAGGATGCAGCCAAAGCCACGAGTTGGGATTCCCTGAAAGGGTTAAGGTCAGCAAAGTCACTCACCAGTCCCCAGTTCTTGGCTAGCTTCCAGAACAGAGACCATACACTACAGCCAACTCAGTCCTAGCTGGAGACTCAGGGCTATCACCAGACCCTGGAACCCTCACTCTTCATTTATTTGTTTCATTTGGCCTTTGGGATTCAGCTGAAGCAGTCTGGAAACCAGGGACTGTGTTCTTAATCTAAGAATTCCCAATCTGAAGGCCAGATTTTCCACTGCCTGTTTTTGTGCCAGTTAGTCTGCTACCACTCTGGGCACCCATTAAAATTCCTATGTGCACCTCAAGACAGCAAATGCCCCAAACCCATACTATCTACTAACAAACTAGCACAGCTTACTATTATCATCAGACTGGTTGCCCCTCTAATGAAAAAGGCACAGCAAGTATGCTACAGTAAAGTTTATGTTTTCATGGGGGCTGAATGAGTGGAAAAGTGTTATGGAGCAAGTTCCTGGGCAACCACACGTGACTAGAAAACACTAGTCTTTATAGTTGACAAAAAGGATTTCAAGTGCTAGATTAAAGTATACTTTTTGCCTTACATTGTCCAAATACTGGTAGTAATAGCCTCTGATGAAAAGAAAATCTTAAACTTACCGATCCATATAGCTCTCCTCGTTCATTCATTCCTAAGTATAGGCCAGAGTCCACTCCCCGAATGCTGATCAGCCCCACAGCCAGGCTGATAAACTCCAGGATGCCTATAGCAAAAAAGGTGAATGCCATTTCCATCACTAACATCAAGCTAAGAGGAAGCTGTTCAGGTAACATGAGCTACCAGTCATTTATCCACAACTGGAGGCCAGCCCTGGGTGGCTTTCATGAATGACCTGATAAAACCATCTTTGCAAGAAGAATGGAACTACAGGGAAGACACTGAGTCTCTATGAACCTCAATTTTTCCATATATAAAATGGGGAAACAATCTCTGCCTCTAGTCAACACTCTTAGGCATATTATGAGGAAAATACAGTGAGAAGGCTTTGGTTACAAAAGCTCCTAATTGCCGAAACCGGTTTGGCTCACTGGATAGAGCATCGGCCCTCGGACTGAAAGGTCCCGGGTTCGATTCCGGTCAAGGGCATGTACCTTGGTTGCGGGCACATTCCCCAGTAGGGGGTGTGCAAGAGACAGCTGACCGATGATACTCTCTCATCGATGTTTCTAACTCTCTATCCCTCTCACTTCCTCTCTGTAAAAAATAAATAAAATAAATATTTTTAAAAAGCTCCTAATTATAAGGCACTATTACTGTTAAATACCAACATTTTAAGAAATGGGATTGCATTCTTCCTAAATAGGAGAATATGGCCAGGTTTCTGTATCTCCCCAAAGTCATTTCTCTTCTCCCAGAGAACAGAGCATTACCTCCCTGTCCTCTAGGCTGAACTTGTTTTGCACCCTCTTAGCTCCCATGTACTTGAAGCCACATGAGGCTGTCAACTGCCTGTAGCTGACTCTAACAAAGGCCACACAGGCCACTCACAAGTTGTTTCTCCTGCCATAGGCAGGATGCAGAACTTGGCCTGGCAAGAGCTTTCTCCTGAAAAGTGCTTTCAGCCTGTACAGTCACAGGCTGACAAGCCTGTCATTCTCCCCTTCTCTCTTGAGAATTTTAAGTTTATTCATGGCCGAGCTGGCAGGTAGCACTGGACTTAATACTGATTTGAGATGTTGCAAATTAAAGGGAAAAGGGAAGACATTCAGAAATGTCCCTCTAGCCGACAAGGATAGAGGTAAAGACTTGAAAACGTTTTCATTTATTGAGCAGCAGTAAGAGGAAAAAAAGAAATCAACTACTAAGAGGGAAAAAGGACCAAGAACTGAAACGCTGGTGACACTGAACACTTTATACTTTTATCCTAAGATAGCACCTCTATCAAATGGATGCAAATATAATAGGAAGCTGGATTCTTCTGTGATATTCTGTCTCTAACCATGCTTTTCAATGTACAGAACAAAACTTGGTGGACTGACTCACAGAGGCAACCAAAGGTATGAAATGAGCTCATATCTGGCTGTCTTTCTTATTAAAAAAAAATGCAATTTTAAGGGTAATAATGTTCTATGTAATCTACATAGAAAGTGAGACTAATTCCTTAAAGATCACTTAAAAATGTAAGTGGTTTAATTTTGAAACCATGTGCAAAACTCCAGTGGGAAGTCTGAAGAGCCCCAGTGACCTGGGCTGGTAGATGGTGTGCAAGTGTGGCAGCTTTAGGACACGTTTCCACGGCCCATTTGAAGAATGTCAAGTTCTTTGGCTGCCATCGTACAAAAATTCTCCAAGTTTTATTCCCAGTCTGGTTGTTACTAACTCTTATAGTCCAAAGAAAGGAGTTTTGGGCAAAGAGATAGATACAAGATGGTAGGAGGTAAAAGAGAAAATACCTGGTGCCAAGTAATGGTTAAGCAGATGCTGATTTTATAGACCAAAACCTTTAGTGGTACTGCACAGCATTCTGATTTGGGTGCTTCCCTGTTTCACATTTTAATAAATGACTGTAAGAGGACATAGAGGGACTGCTTACCCTCGTTCCAGAAGACATACAGCTGAGAGGGTGACACAAACAAAATCCGAAGAGATTTCAAGAGAATGGAAAAATGGACTGACTCCAGCAAAATAAGCTTTAGTTGGAATAACTAAAATTCTGCACTTTGGTCCCCAAACCAACTACTGAAGATTTTTTTTTTTTGGGGGGGGGGTTTGCTGGGGGAGTGTGAGCCTCAAGTGCAGACAGTTGAGTAAATCATACTCCTTTTTTGTGTGTCCTACTATCATAATTGGCCTGTGCAAGGACATTTTAGTTATCTATTTCTTTCTTTTTATTTCCATACTCTACTCCCATCCTCCTTCCCACTTTAGGCAACCATGTATATTTTCTTGAAAACATACTGTTCTTTTGTGTTTTCATGCATTTTTATCAAATGCAAGTCTGCCTGTTTCTGGAATGGGGAGATGTGGCTTAGCAAAATATACACAGCAATGGCTTAGGGGGATTTGATTGGATAAGGTAAGTCTAGTATGGGTGATTAATGAGATTATTAAAAAGCTAATGTGTAACTAGTCATGTAAAATTAAAAAATATTTAAAAGCTAATGTAAAACATGGTGGTGGTGGGAAATAAAGCTAATGTGATTTAAGGCTGCACTGATAGAGGTCTAGTAACTGGCTTAAGGGAGAGGATTGGCCCATTCTGCTTTGTTTTTTAGTTGGACTGTGTTTAAAGACGGCTACAGAAACATGGGAGTGTGTTCAAAGGCGAACAGCCAGTGTGGCAAGGAAATGAGAAACCAGGTCATGATTCAGTTTTGGGTGCTAAACTTTGAGGGATACCAACCTGTTGGAGCCTTCAGTGCTTTGATTCGTTTAGGCAGATTACTTCTGAGCCTCAAGTCTTAGTTCCCTCATTCTCTAAGTATCTCATGTCTCTAACCACCGTGAGCTCATTAAGTAGCAGAGGTCAGCTTGTGATCTCACCATCCAAGACCTGGTGTGAGAACAAATCATGAAACCCAAGAGGTGTGGCCATTTGAGTCACCACAGTTTTTCTCCAATTCTCAGTTAACATGATGCCAAAGGACAGATCATACAGGAAGTCGCTTGGGTTGTGTCCAGTAACAGGGGTCTCCAACAGCTGGAATCGTCCCTGCCCAGCTGTCTTTGGGCATCATTCCCCTCTGCCAACTTTCCTATTAGCTGGATTTAAATTGTGGGAACCCGGTGGCACATGATGATGGAACAGATATTCCTAAACCTTCTCTGAATCCCAGCCAGTATGAAGGGAGAGAGAAAACAAGCCATTTTTACATTTTCCCAGCTACAGCTGGAGAGGGGTGTGAACAGGAAAGTGTTGAGGCGAAGTATTAAGTAGACAGATTGTCCTCTCCACTCTCACCGCCTTTAAAGCTCAGGATCTCTCTCTGCTCTGCTTCATCTTGACCGGTCCACCTCAAGCTCTGGCCTTTGCTGGACAGTTTCTGGACTCTTGCCTTCTTATACCTTTTCCCCCATGGCCTCGTTCAAAATGGACATCCTGGGTCCCACTGCTTCAGAACTTAGTTAGATGACTGACGAAGGTGCCATTTGATCTGGTTCCATAACTTGCCTGAGCTCCCTCAGTCACCCTTTCAGACCTTCATGGCCAAGACAGTGCTGCCTTGGCACCTTGCCAAACAAGAACCAGCTCACTCAAAACCCAAAGCAGCTGCAGGAGCCTGCTCCATCCCACGTGGTGGGAGGCCTCTCCTCCAACCTGGCTCCCCAATCCTACTTTGCCAATCCACAGGTGTCCCTCAAGAACATCAGTATCTCCGTGAACCCCATGTTAATGCCACCAGCCAGGCAGAAGTTGTAATACTCCGGCTACTGATGGCAGAACAGGGGGTGGCGAGGGGGGAGGATAGGCTGTGCCAACAGGTTATTATATGGAGTCGGGGCTGCTCTTGGGCTCAGCCTGACTTGTTCTGAACACATGGATTCCAGGGTAATCCTTGGGGGCCCTGCTCTCCAATTACAACAAATAGCTATTTACTTTACATGGCCTTCGGAGACTACCTCCTCCCCCCAAGCAGAAATCTATAATATTTTATATCTTAAGTCTGGCCTACTTTACCCTGCTGGAATGTTGACTGCTAAAGCACTTATGGAATGTTAAAGTTTCGATTTATTGAATACCCTGGCTGATTAACTCAAACGTGGAGGGAGGAGTTAGCAAACTCAAACGCCACCTCTTTCTTTGCCAAAAGCTAAACTGAGAAAGAGTAAACGTGTTAGAAAGTTGGCAGGGGAGGTTACAAAGAGACAGCTTTGACCAGCTATCATCTCATTTACAGGAAATACACAAAACTGCCAGGAAGCCAGGGAAGAAGGGAAGGGAAAAGGTGATGCCGAGGTGGTCTCAGGCAGTGTTTTTTAAAGACAAAACAAAAAAATGAAGCAGTCAGTTAGGCAGCAGTGAAAACATCCCTTCTCCCTGCCAGTTTTATTTCCTTTGGTTTCTCCTTAAACTTAACACCCTTTGCAGGCCCGAGAGATGAAAAGAAATCAAGATGTGTCTTTAGGGAGGTAATTAAAGACCACTTATCCCAAGAGCCTATTATTGATTTATGTTGACCTTGTAGGTTATTGGGCTCAGCTTAGGCACAGAGTCAGACAAACACTTGTAGCTGCTGGGAGCCAAGTTCATAGTTTCTCCACCTCTGCTACCCCCAACCAACATTTCCCTATTATTTCATAAATTTTCTCTTATATTTCAGGAAGGAGCTACTCCAATATTTCTAGGCCATTCTGGGAGTCTTTAGGGGGCTCTGAGGCCAGGGCGGGAGTCCCATTACCTCTGAAGAGAAACAAAAGGAGACTGCAAAGTCATAAGCAATGGAAGGAAAAGGAGCCAAGTTAGCACTCCTTCTCCCTCCTCCCCACCTTATCACCCATTTGAGGACGGGCTGCAAGTTTATACAGACACCTGCACCCCTCCATTACCCCCACCCCACACACAACCTACTGCACTCCAGCTCTGTGAGTGCATTTTTCCAAGATGACATAGACCTCATTAGGGTTCCTGCTTGCTCCCCGCAAGGAAGACCAGCCCTAGCCCTAAGTTGTTTGCTAGACCTGGCCTCTGTGCACCCCCCCCCCCACACACACACTTTTTTACTGTGCACACCAGCAGCAGCTCCAGCAAGGGATGGGGGGGCAGGAGGATGAGGAGGCATGGAAAGAGTGAGAAAAAGAAAAGAACTTATTGTGTGGGAACATAGTCAAAACCTCTTATAGGCTTAAGGGTAGGCTTCCTTGGGCCACTGGGTCCTTGGGAGGAGGTAGGGACATTGGAGGAAAGAGGGCCCGAGGAAGGATAGCTGTCCCAGCACCTGAAAAATGCTTTAGTAGAGAATAGGATATTGAAAATAAAAACGGCCAAATTACTGACGAGTGGATACATTTGTTTAGAAACCTAACGATCTCTGTCTCAGACCAAGGTTTATATTGTGTTCTCTATGTGAGACAGGCAGCTGTGCCCTTTGAACAATTTGCAAAATGGTGGACAGAGAAAACCTTGGATGGAGGTGGCCATTTCCTGTCCTGGGCCCAGAAGACACCTGTTGCTGTTGCTGGGAGTGGGCCCAGGACTTTCCTCACTGAGGCGAGGAGTCCAGAGGCAGCTCCAAGCCAAAGCTGCCCCAGGGCTCGTGCCCTTACACAGCGGACACTGGAAGGCTTTCCTAGTTTCTCGAATCCCCAGCCCATGCCCTGCTGCCTGGATTGGCCCCCACCCTGGGCAGAGCAACCCAGAGGCAGGCAGGTGCTGGCCAAAAGCGACGTGGGTACCGGCTACTCGCCCACCACATCCATGGCCCACGAGGGCTCCTGTTCCAGGCCATCGCCCGCGACAATCCTGCCCTCGAGGCTCTGTCCCGCGCCGCGCCGCAGCTGCTGTGATTCTGCTCCTACCTCTCTCCCAGCTCCACCTGCTCCCAGTCCAAGTACAGCATCCAGGTGCCAGAACGCTCCTCTCTCACTCAAGGGAGGAAGGGAGAGCGGAGTGGAGGAAGGAGAGGCAGCACCTCAAGGCGCCGGCGCCCGCGCCCCCGCCCCCTCCCTGGCGTCTCAGGGTGCCAGGCTCCCTGACGCCTTTCGGCTCAAGTCCGCACCGTCGTGTCCCATCTGCCCCGCGTCCCTGGCGGCCATCCGCCTGGACGGCACCGAGCTGGGGGCGGTCCGCGGGGCCCGGAGCCCGAGCTCAGAGCCGTCGGCTCCCCAGCGCGCCGTCGGGACGCTCGCCTCCCGTCCCTCCCGGTCGGGTCCTCACCGAAGCGGCTGTGGTCGTGGCGGGTGCCGTGGACCGTGCCGTTGGGGAAAATCTCCAGGTGGAAGCCGGTGCGGCAGTAGAGCTGGCGGCGCCGCAAGATCCCCTTCAGGTGGGCGAAGTCTGTGGGCGAACCGCGCTGCAGCTTCCCCTCGATCTGGCCCAGGCGCTCGTTCAGGAAACCGGGGGAGTCGGCTAAGGGCATGTTCCCCAAGGATGCGGAAAAACCGTGCAGATCCCAGTCCAAGGAGGCGAAGACCCCCCCCACCTCCGCCATGGCAGGGTGCGCGGGGCCGAGCCGGGGCGGAGGTGCGCGATCTGCCTCTCCCCGCGGCGGGCGTGGGCGACTCGCCGGCGCTCGCTCCCCAGCTCCTCGCTCTGCGGAGCTGCAGTCGACGTGTGTTCTTGTCCAAGGAACTTCTCAGCGGCGGGGAGCGTGGGGCAGCGCGTTCCTGACCTTGCTCTCAGTCAAAGTGCCGCTTTCCCTCCACGTCCATCTCCTCAGGCCTCTCATAGCTGGCTTCGTCGAGCGATCGGATGCAAGCGGCACTTTATATACGTACCCACTCCCCTTACATTGACATATTGGATATTTAAATACAAGCCACACCTCACTGGCATCCCCTCGGAGATTGGTGTGTGGGTTGTTTTTTTTTTCCCCCTTTCTCCTTCTCGTATCCATTTGGCTCTTTTTGGGAGCGGAGGGGGGTGGAGTGGGGAGGGGGGAAGAGAACAAGCGAGCTTCACTCCCTCTTTTATTGTGAAAAAATGGCAGGAAAAAGCTACACATTGCAGTGAGGCATAACTGCTTTTGGCAGGTTTTTCTGAAGCTGCTGATGAAATAACGGAGCCCAGTGCGTGGAGGCTGCTGGCGCCCACGACCACTCAGGCCTGTTGCGTGGACGTCTGTCCGCTGCGCGGGGGCAGTCCCCACCTTTCCCGGGTCCCCGGGCTGCTGGCTTTGGGAAAGTGGCCTGAGACCCAGACCTGGCGTTCCCAGGTTCCTGAGGCCCTCTTGTTTCCCGGCTGGCCAGAGGCTGCAGAAGGGGTGCCTGGCCTGGGACAAGGGCCTCCCCGGTTTCTTTGTTCGGTTGCCCACCCCGCAGCCTCACTCCCCACCTGTAGGTTGGACGGGGGTTGAGGAAGGGAAAAGTCCGGAAGCGGTGCAGTTGCAAAATTGGGGATTGGGGGTGCTGGCAGTCCCTGCAGGAACCAAGGCGCGGTCTTCAGGAGACTGGGAGGAGCGGGAAACCTCACGGAGAAAGAAGACATTTTTTTAAGGGACATTACAGTTTAGGAGATGGAGGGGGGTGGGGGGAGTAAGAAATAGAAAGCGATCTTTTAGAAAAAAAATGATTTCCACTGGCTTTGTGGGCGTGCTTTTACAGGGCTCTGGAGAGCAGGCTGGATGAAGGGCCATTGGAAACCTGGTCAGGGCTTTCCTCCACACCCCTTTTCTTGTTGGAAACAGGTGTTTCCTCGCTCTGTCCGGTGCCCTGCTCAGAAATATTCTATCAGAAGAGCGGCATTTGGGACGGGAACTGGCGGCAGTCAGGGCAATGGGCCGCCTCAAGAAGAACTGAGAGCAGGTGCCAGGCCTTCCCTGGGGACCACCCCCCCTCCCCGCCCTCCTGCCAGGCACCTGAACCCTGGGGCACTTCTAAGGTCCCAGTGCTCAGCGTCCTGCAGGCTCATTAAACTGCTTTGTTGCTTGCAGTTTGTACTCTCCGAGGGCTCTGGTCTGCTTTTTCCTGCTCTTAAGGGAGAAACAGAGCAATCACCCCCTGCCCCGCCTTTGCAGCGCCTCCTGCTTGAGAATCCGTGTCTCGCGGCGAGTTTGAACCCAGGGTCTCCATTAGAGAAAACAGATTCAGCTCAGTTCAGTTAGTGCAGTTTGAGGTCCTGGTCCTGGGCTCCCATGCACCCCTTGCTCACACTCTGGTACCGTAAAAATTCTTGGTTTGGAACATCATGTCTTAGTTCTAGTGTGTCCCCTTAGCTCAGCCAGAGCCTCCAGAGCCAAGCACAAGGTCTGGCACATATTAGGTGCCCAGAAATCATCTTCTGATGTGTTTGCTCCCAGTAGTAGGGCACAGATGCAAATAGTCTCCAAACAGAACTGCAACAGATGGCCTCTGTAGTGGAGTATTTACGAATGAAATTCTGGGATTTGCTTGAAAATAACCCAGAGTGAGAAGGCAAGAGTGGAGGTATAGACGTGACAATATTATTCATGTGTTACTACCTAGTTGATGAAGCCTGGTGATGGGTACATGGGTATTCATTATATATTTCTTCTACTCTCTAAACACACACACACACACACAGATACACACCACATACACATGCACACGCTGCATTTTTCCACAATAAAAACTTTTAAAATGGGACATAAAACAACAAATAAACCATTCCTTCCTTCTTTATTCTTCCATTCGAAGAGTTTGTGGATAGTAAGACAGTGAGGGAAGAGGGACAGAGGGTAAGACAAGTATATAAATGACTAGAAGGCAGTATAAGGCAGTATAAGGTATACAGTGCTGTGTGGACTCAGAAAGCAGAGAGAAGGCTGATCCCTGGGTTTAGGGATGGGTTCTGGACCAAGGTGGCCCTTGTAATGGATGGGCTGGATTTTGCCAATTCAGGTAGTCCACTACCAGGAAGAGGAAAATGGTAACAAAGAAGGTGGAACAATTTTAGTGAAAGTCAAATGAAATACTGTAGATAGAACTGCTTTGAGAAATATGTGACATAAAGGATTTAGATGCTTCTATGATGATATAAACGATGCATTGATAATGGTGGAAGGCCATTTCCTCGATAGTCATGCCAGGGACCTTCTGCACTCTTTGCCCCCAACATTCCCAAAGTCACCAACCACAGTTGCATATCTGGAGGCCTACCTGATCAAAGATTAGAGATACAAACATTTCATTGCCCTTCTGGGCCTCTTTTGAGATTAAGCTGACTGATGATTGTGCTTTAAATAACGTTTCCATGAAGTGTCCCATTGACAGAGCAATTCCATGGAAGTTATTTAATTTTCACAACCTTATGAAGTAGGAGGTGTCATTATCACTATTTTAGAGGTGAGCTTAAGTGACTAGCATAGAATCATCTATAATAATAATGAGACATAATGTGCTAATTAGACCGGATGTCCTTCCAGAGTTCTTCTGGACGACCTCCTGGACATAGCCGGGGCTGCAAGGGAAGTCCGAGTCCTGGGTGCAAGAGGGAATTTCATGCATTGGACCTCTAGTCTATATATATAAAAGTCTAAGTGACTGACCGTCCAACCTTCACTCACCAGCCAGCACATATGATGTGTATTGGCAATTTAAAAATAGATGTTGAGTCTCGAAATGCATGATGCATATAAAGAGCTCTTGGAATGGATATTATTGTAATCCCCCAAGAAATGATTTGTAACTGATATATTATTGAGGTTAGCTACCTTTGGAAATAGTAAATCTATTAGATAATATAAAAATATATCTAAACATGCGATCTTTGTCCTAAAAATAAGCACATTCATAAATTAAATGAAGAAATTTTGGATATACTCGATGGAGATTTTCACACCTACTTGAGTGATGATTCTATTGATTCAGCAGATGATGCTGAAAAGGAAAATTTTCCCATCAAATTTCTTAATAGTATTTCTCCTTCGGGAATGCTGTGTCATCAATTAAAATAGAAAGTGGGTGCAATCATCATACTACTGAGAAATCTTAATAGTAAATGGGGTCTTTGTAATTGTACTAGATTTATTATCAAAAGATTGTGACCTAACATAATCGAAGCTGAAGTATTAACGTGATCTGTGGAAGGAGAAATTGATCTAAGAACTGATTTGTCTCTGTCTGACACTGGACTCCCATTTAAATTAATTCAAAGACAGTTTCCCGTGATGCCAGCATTTGTGATGACTATTAATAAATCACAAGAACAAACTCTAGACAGAGTAGGAATATTCCTACCTGAACCCCTTTTTGGATATGGTCAGTTGTATGTTGCTTTCTCTCGAGTTCGAAGAGCATGTGACATTAAAGTTAAAGTTGTACTATTGATAGTAAATACTTCATTACAAGGGAAATTAGTCAAGCACTCTGAAAGTGTTTTTACTCTTAATGTGGTATGCAGGGAGAAATTAGACTAGGTTTAATCAATTTATCAGTCATTGTTTTTATTTATGTTGTTTTTATATCATGTCTTTGTTGTTATATCATGTTGTTATTGTTTATTTGTTAATCAATTTATATATTATTTTCATATACATTTTACTAATTTTCTTTAATCTCTGACACTTACCATATATTAAAGAGAAAGGGCAAATAGCAGTATTAAAATACTTCTTCTAATTAATTTCCTTTCAATGTGCACAAATCCGTAGTAGCCTAGTGTAAGGGCCATAACAACCTAACAACTGGTTGCTATGACACCCACTGTGGCCAGCAAACTGGCCTGATCAAGGGGTGGGGCCAGCAGCCAACCTCACAGCCCCTCCCCGCTGCCGGCCTGCCCCTGATCAGACTCTCCCTTTCTCCCTTCCTGATCAAGTGCTGGGTCTGGTGGCCAAATGCTCCCTCCCTTCCGCACCCCACCTCCCGGCCAGCCATGCCCCCATCAGCCTGTCCCACCATGATAGGCCCGCAGCCCTACCCCACTGCTTGCCCTCCCTTGATCACACCCCTACCCCAATAGGGGGTGGGGCTGGCCAGCCAACCTCCTGCAGCCCCTCCCCCCAGCGGCCCTACCCCTAATGCCCCCCCCACCCCAATAGGAGGTAGGGCTGCCCCACCAATCTTCTGCAGCTCCTCTCCCTCCTCCCCCGCCTGGCCCACCCCAGATCGGCGCCCCCACCCCAATCAGGGGCAGGGTCGGCTGGCCAACCACCCATGGCCCCTCCCCCAGGCTGCTGGCTCCCAATTGGCACCTCCACACACCCCATTCAGGGGTGGGGGTGGGGGCAGGGCTGGCCTGCCCACTGCCCACAGCTCCTCTCCATGGCCGGCCCTGCCCCCAATTGGTTCCCCAACCCCAATTAGGGGCAGGGCCCACTGGCCAATTGCCCACAGCCCCTTCTCCCAGCTGGCCTGGCCCTTATTGGGGGCCCTGATTGGGCCCTGATCAAGGCAAGCTGTCCAGCTAACCTCCTGCCAGGCCCAGTTCTGATCCACCCTGATTAGGACTGGGCTGGCTGGACCCCACCCATGCACAGATTCGTGCAGTGGGCCTCTAGTAGTTAATAAGAAGCAGAGTAATATTTTATTTTTATTTTTATTTTTTAAATATATATTTTATTGATTTTGTACAGAGAGGAAGGGAGAGAGATAGAGCAGCGTTTTTCAACCGCTGTTCCGCGGCACACTAGTGTGCCGCGAGATGTTGCCTGGTGTGCCGTAGGTGCAGACAAGACAAGAATTTTATAATTTTTCACTATTTTGTTTACTTAATATTTCATAATAAAGTAATTATAAAATACTTTCTTTGTGTTTATTTGATTCCTATTCAAGAGAATTACTTTATATATAGTCAATATAGGCACAGAGT